CAGACCATCACACTCCTTCCAGCATGCCCTTGCTCACTAGGGACACTGTCTGGTGGTGAGAGCCAGGCCATGTTCCTGGAGGGACGCCATGAGGATGACGGTGCACCCTCCTTGGCCATCCAGAGAGGGGGCACAGGATGCAACTTGCCCACCTGGTCAAGATGGTTCCTGCTGGGCTTGTGCACTGCAGAGCATGTTTACCTTTGTCTGGCAGGGATCCTGTGGCAATAGATATTCTGATGTTATAACAATATCCTAACCCTCAATAACCCCAATCTAGGCACTCCTGGATGCCACCCTGTGCCACCTTCTCCCTTTTCACATGTCTAACTCTCTTCTCCACACAGGGACCAAGAAGTACTTAAGACAGAGTTTATCTGAGTGACTGACACACACAAGCAAAGGGTCCATCAGGGTTAGAAAAAAAACTCAAATCAAAGCACATTTGGAAGGCCCCATGTACAGGGGTAAAGTAGGGGAGGGGCACGCCTGCTTTAGGAGGTGCAGATGGGCGTCTGCTGACAAGTCCAGCACACACATGCACGGTGGCTCAAACATCCCAGCGCTCGGTTCAGGGGCCCAACCAGCACGTAGGTGTGTTTGTGTACTCCGGGCAAAAGGAGACTCAGATGAGTCCTCCTGACAGCTTTGTTCATAACAGCCCTAGGTGGGCAACTGGATCACCAACAGGGTGGGCAGACGCATCCAGTGAATACCACACAGGAAACAACTAGCTGTAGCTACACATACCGCACGGACCTTGCAGCGATTAGGAAGAGACAAAAATCAGAAGCAAAAGGCATTCTTTCTTAGAGTTCCATTTTTCTCAAGGAAAAAAAAACAGATAAAACTAGCTTATGCTTTTTTGAGACAAATATTAAGACAGTAAAGAAAAACAAGGCACAGAACTACTGTATACCTCTATGGAGGGTAGGTAGCACTTGTGAGAGTGGCAGGTGGAGCTGGGAGACTTGGGAGCTGGGATTGGTGCTCTTCTTGACCAGGAGATGGTTACGCAGGTGCTGCCTCTGTCATAATGCAACTGTCTGTACACTCCTTCTTGTACTTTTCTATAAGTGCCAGTGTAGTTCACAATGAAAAAGGTAAAAGAAATGTCCTGCCAAAGAGGCTTTTATGGCACAGGTGTAGATGGAGCTGGGGTCCTCTATCCTTCCCTAGACCTGAAAGTACATGGCTATCTTCAAGGGCCACTTATAGAGATGTGGCTTTCAAACACAGCTGAGCACCAGCCAAGGGGAGGTAGCCTTGCAGGGCACGGTCTCTAGTGCAATGTAAATGCACCTGGGCATTCCACACCTGCAGTCTCCACCTGTGGCCTCCTGACCCACAGCTGAGCCTGCTGGAGAGGGCCTCTGTAGCACCATCCTGGCTGGGATAGGAGGCATCACAAAATGCTTGCCCCAGGCTGCCCTCTGAGTGTGCCTCCCACACCAGGCCTGGCATTGTGCAGCCCAGAGGACTGCTCAAGGCCACCCAGGCATCTGGGCCCTGGAGGAACAGGAACCCCTTAGAGGCCTACCTCTCAGCTGAAAACCTGGGGAACATTTACAAGGGCCAACCCCAGTGCAACTGGTTTAGTGGGATATTTAGAAATGATGTTTACTCTGACAATCAAGAAAACACCAAAACCACACAGAGGTATCTGAGCTGAGGAGAAGGAGGCAAGGTTAGGTGAAGGCTCCAAAAACATTCAGGGCCAGAGCCACTGTCCTCCTGGACAACTCTGGTCCCTCAGTCCCCTCACAGCTATCTTCTGGGTGGCGGCAAACATGAATCTAGCACAAAAGTGCTCTGCAGACCATCAGGGGCCTGATAATCCTGTCCTCCAGGGACTAGACCCCACAGCACCCAAGTGTCCCAGGCTCTGAGTCTAGAGCAGGAGGACAGACCTGTCACAGGAATGCCCCAAACATGAAGGGTGCCAAGTCCTAGGAGGGAAGTATCATGAATCTGGAGGAGAAAAGGCTGCCCAGGGAAGTAGCACTTTGACCTTGCTTCTGGGCTGGCAATAGCAGTCCCCAAGCGGGGTAGATGTTCCTGTGAGTGAGGACAATGGCCTGCTCTGGCAGCCAGGTGGCCAGGGAAAAAGACTTGTTATTGGCTCCCAATACACCCTCCCTATCCCTGCCATGCTCTGCCCCTCCCTCTTCCCATGGAAAACAGGGAAGCCTCTCACCCCTTTGCCCATCCGGTTGCTTCCTGGCCCATCTGGTGTCCCTAGGCCTGTCATCTCTAGAAGGGTACAGTGACAATGCCAGAACACAGCCCCAGAAACTACCATGGGATGCCCCTGCCTCAGGATCACTGCAGGCTGCCAGCCATGAATACCTCGTGGCCCCCCATGACATTCCCATGCTAAGCTCCCTATGGCCTCAATCTATGGCCTCACTCACTCACTGGGAGTGACAAGCTGCTGCCCGAACTGAAGCACAGGCTGTGCGAAGGGCCATCCTTGTACCTTTTAGCAGACTCTTCTCAGCAGTTAGAGGGCAGGTGACCAGCAGACAGCACCTGGACACAATGCCGTGGGAAAGGCCACAGCACCAGAAACCCACTCTTAAGATAAACAGAGGCTGGGCTAGTGAGCACTTTAATTGGGATAGGCCATCCCCCTGTGGCCCCTTCTAGCTTGAGGGCAGTCTAGATAAGATACAGAAGTGATCTGCAGGATACAGAAAACACACACACACGCACACACATACACACACGCCACACAGTCTCTTTCACATGGGCCCAGAGCCTTAGAAGTAGGAGCCCAGATGGGCAGAAACACAGGAGATGCTGCAGGGGCCACAGGCAGGGAGTCGGCCACATCGCTGCATCCACTCAGAATCTGAAGCAAATCACCATGTGATCAAGGAGGCTGTTACAATCCAGAAAGGGACACATGGCCAGAGCTCCAGCTCTAAGTCTGTGGCCTGCTATGTCCACTTGGTTCCCCCTCTGCCCCGGGCTCTTGGTGTCTGAGCCTATACTTCATTCTACCTCCTTAGCCCATGGTGCTGTCACTTCTGCCCACTCATAGTCAAAGCAGGTGCCCTTCATGAAACCTGACCCTCACTACCATGTCACACCTGCACTGGTAGAAGCCACCTCAAAAACTGGTTCGCACATGCAGAAGATTAAAATTGGACCCCTATCTTTCACCATGCACTAAAGTCAAAATGGATCAAAGATCTAAATATTAAAACAGAAACATTAAATCTGCTGGAAGATGGTACAACTCTTGAGGACACTGGTGTAGGCAAAAACTTTATAAACAAAACCCCAATTGCACAGGAACTATTACAAAGAATCAACAACTTGGATCTCATCTTATTAAAAAGCTTTTGCACAGCAGGAGAAACCACCAACAAAGTGAAGAGATAACCCACAATGTGGGAAGAAAAATGTTTGCCAGCTGTTCCTCAGACAAAGAATTACCATTGAGAACATACAAAGAACTCAAAAAATCAGACCCTTCCAAATTTAAAGATCCAATCCAAAAATGGGCATGAGATGAATACACACTTCTCAGATGAAGAAGTACAAACAGCAAATAAATATATGAAAAAATGTTCAACATCACTGGTCATTCAAGAGATGCAAATTAAAACAACACTGAGATTCCATCTCACCCCAGAAAGAATGGCTATTATCAAGAAATCAACCAATGACAAATGCTGGCAGGACTTTGGGGAAAAAAAGAATCCTTCTCCATTGCTGGTGGGAGTGTAGATTGGTACAACCACTGTGGAAATCAGTGTGGACATGCCTCAAAAAATTAGAATTAGAGGTTCCATTTGACCCAGCTGTTCTCCTTCTGGGTATTTTCCCAAAAGAATTTAAAGCATCACACCACAGCGATGTATGTGCACCCATGTAATAGCCAAATCTTGGAAACAGCCCAAATACCCATACTGGTGAATGGATAAAGAAGATGTGGGGTGGTTTTTTTTCTTTAAATATACAATGGAGTACTACTCTGCCATAAAGAATAATATGCTTGAGACATTCCTAGGTAAACGGATGCACTTTGAGATTATACTCTTTAAGTGAAATAAATAGGACACAAATGTGTGAATACTGCATTGTTTCTTTGTTATGAGAAACTGAAAGTATAAATAAGGACCAAAATGTATAATAGGTATTATGAAATAGGAAGAAAATGTTCAAATGGGGACATCAAATGGGGACAAAAGTGACTGCTTTAGGACCTCACTCAAATGGGGAGAGGAAACAAGGAAGGAGGGAGATGGAAAGGAAAGAAGGGAGAATAGCCGGGCATGGTGGCGCATGCCTGTAATCCTAGCACTCAGGAGGGTGAGGCAGGAGGATTGTTGAGAGTTCGAGATCAGCCTGGGCTACAAAGTGAGCTCAAGGCCAGTCTGAACTCCATAGCGAGACCCTGTCTCAAAAAGACCAAAAAAAAAAAAAGAAAGGAAAAGTAAAAAAAGGTGAGAAAAGAAGAAAAAATGGAAACAAAGCGTTTGTAAATGGGGAAGGGAAGAGGGGTTGAAGGGAGGGGAGAGAAACGGGGGGGAAAAGAATCAAGTTACATCAGGTACAAATTCTGCATGATGAATGTGATCATTATATATATCTAAAATGTACCAATAAAATCTGATTAAAAGAAAAAAGAAGCCACCTCAGATGTCACCAGTTCCAGCACTCCAGCCTCCTGAGGTGCCGCCTCGCAGCCCTGCCTTGGAGCAAATAAAGGTCCCGGCAAAGATGGTAAAGCCAGCAGCTGTTGGCTCTGCCTGCCTGCCCAAGGACATGGGACTGGCCTAGTGTCTTCCACATGCTGTAGCCAAACTGGCTGGCTCCCCCTTGACCTTTCTTTCATTTTTTTTTTTTTTCAATTGATCTTTGAAGTCTCCCATTTCACCCTGCCAGCCAGGTGGAGCCACAAGGGCCTGTGCTGGGGTGCTCCTGATTCCCACTGGAGGTCACAAAGTGGCTGCTTTAGGACCTCACTCAGAGCTGCTGTGACATACCTGAGGAGCTGCGGGCTCTGGGGCAGCATCTGCAGCCAAGTTACACTCTGGCCCCCATGGCCATCCAGGGTGGCAACTGCTCTCCGTGTCTGCAGGCTCCAGATATGAACAACACCACTCTGAGACCTGTTGAGAGGAGCACAGTGCAGGTCAGAAGCAGGCAACGCAATCAGGTGGACACTCTGAGCTTGCTCTGGGGCCCACACGGACATCACACACTTGGCAGATGTGGGCATTTTGACCACTGGAGGTTTTAGGTTAATAGCCAACAGCTCTAACTACGAATCAAGGATAAAATTGGCTGCTTCCAGAGAAGGTGGGTGGGAAGGCCCTCACAGGCCTGGGTGGAGAGCTCAGGCAGCAAGTGCTGCTCCAGAAGGGAAGGAGAACCCTGCCACTTGAATTTAGGCTACACAGTCTCCAACAAAGGGGCACGTGTCCCTCCTTCTCTCAGGGGTCAGTCCTGAAAGAACAGCAAGCACAAGGGACAGGTGGCTTGAAGCCCTATGCAGTAGCCCACAACCCCCTGACTTCATCCCCAGGCTCGGGGTGAAGCAACTGCTACTCACCCTGAGAAAAGGAGTGGAAATCCCTGGGCCTGGGCTCCTCCGCAGAAGTGCAGCGCATTCACCGCTGACTGTGTGCCTCGCAGAACAAACTGGGGGTCTGGTGGTGGTGGGGAGAGGGGAACAGCCATGCTAGGCAGGGTGCAGTCACCTGGGGACCAAGGAAGGACACATGAGTGGCAGAGCCATCTGTTCTCCTCCCCAGAGGCAGCCTGAGCAGAGGCATCTGGATGCTGACTCAATCAGTGCCCCTGGCCTCCTGTTCCTCCTGGAGGAAGGGAGGCTTCCTGCTCTGCAAGTGCTGAATGGTCCTGTGGCTCCGAACCAGCTCTGCACAGGCCACTGGGGGCCCGTCCAGGTGGGTGGTGCTCACCCTTTCCCTAATTACTGGCCTCTTCTGGTCGCTGCTCCTGGTGGGAATCTACGAACCCTCCCTATACAACCCCCATTCTGGGCTTTTGCACCTAACTGGTATTACCAAGATCCCAACCTCTAACTTCCTCAGGCAGGCACAGTGGCATCCACACCTACCCCTGGCCACTTTGGCCCCGGGTGCCCGGCACAGAGCCACATGCTGCCTTCAGCACTTCTTGTCCAGTGCTGGTGACAAAGATCCTTTGCTTGAGACTAGAGTATATCTCAGTGCTTGCCTAACATGCACAAGGCCCTGGGTTCCATCTCCAGCACGCCCCCCATAAAGATCTTTTGCTTCACCAAACTTAATTGAAGGTCTGAAGCTTCTCCTAGGCCCATCTATGCACGTCTTTGTAAAATCTAGTTTTAGTAAAAACTCTGCCTACCCTCAATAGCTGGCTGCTGGTGATGTCTTTGACCACCTGGCCCTGCCTTCAGAGTCCTGTTAGGTCAGTTGAGACAGAATCCCCATCACTCTTGATGTCTCCTGTACACTGACACCCACACCTTGGCTTAACTGAGTTTCCACTTTTCCATGCTGTATTCAGAGCTGAGTCGAATCGCCCTCCTCCATTTCAAAGCCGCTCTGTCATGGTCTCAGTACCACCACAATGGCCTGAGTAATGTTTTCCTTATGGTGCTTTAACAAGTGTCTCTGAATCATTGTTTCCTTATACCACCGGCACCCTCTGCCTCCCTACTCCTGCTGTCCACACTGCTGTTTCTCTGCTCCAGTCCCTGCACACTGGCAGTGCTTGTCCAGCTTCCAGGCTGGGATGAGCCCTACCCCATCTAGGCCTTGCTCCACTGAATGCCGAAAGAGCCCTCCCCTATTTGCTCTCCTAGCAAGTCCAATCTCCTCCCTTGAGTCCCTCTTCTTCCCTCCTTGCAGTGTGGTAACGAAGTGCCAGGACACGCTGCCACTTGGGCCCCATGGCTAGCTGGGGGGCAGGAAGGCGGGGAGCAGGAAGGCAGGGGTCATGCTGAGCTGCTCCCTCCAGACCTGGCCCTGCATGGGCACTAGCATCAGTCAGCTCAGCTGATGGCAGAAATGCCTGGATGCTAGAAACCAGGTGGAGCCCCAGGGGAATTAAAGGAGAGGGGGCCCCTCCTCTCCTTTGCTGTAAACACCCCTGCTAGGTCTTAGGCCTGCACTGACCATCACAACCTCTAATTATTACAACTACCCTGTGAAGAGGCAGCAGCCCTGACACCGGAGAAAGGGAGGCATGAAATGGTCGGGTGAGCTACCCTAGATCCTCGGCTCAGGTCTGAAGTGCTCTAGAGCCTGTGTGTTCCACCAAGGTACAGAACAGCCAGTCCTGTAGAGTGTGGGTGGTCCATGTTAGAGTCTCCTGGTTGCTCCTCACAGGACTACTGTCACAAAGGGACTTGCAAGGGTCCCTTTAAATGGAGAAGCTTCCAGTACCCCCTCTGAACCCACCTTACCACTCACCTCTGCGGAGGCCCCTCTGCCATCTCAGTCTCAAAGGTGGCTGTTCTGACAAACAAGGTGTCCCCAGAGCCATAAGTGACCTGCCCCAATGGCTAAAGGCACACTTGTCTGCCGGTTGGCTATGTACTAGGTTGAAGATACAGAGGAAAATGCAAGGGACAGACACCTGGGAGCTGCTGCAGCCTGTCCCAGGGTCTCTACCACTGGGCTGCGCGACAGTTCCCAATCTCCTCACTTGCAGCACACACAGCAAGGTGGGGATAGGCCTGACCAACTGGGTGGCAGCTGTAGCCACCAGAAGGATCACAGCAAGTAAAAGAACAGGATCAAAGAAGATAGGAAGCATTTCTCCAGAATAGAATGTTGGTCCGGAGGCTGCTGCGGGATGTGGGGGAGAAGGGGTCACAGCTCAATGCCACATACAGCACATGAGCAGGTGTGGAGGCAGGAGAGGCAAAGGGTTCTCTAGTGTGCAGCCATCCCAGGGCACCCCATTTGGCCATGCCCTCCACCTTGAAGCCCTACTGCCCCCCCATAAAGCCACCCTCCCATCTTCTCTCTCTTTTCATAAGAGGAGGCATGGGCTCCAAATAACAGAGTTGCCCAAGCCAGGCTCCCTGGAGACTATGAGGGCCTATGCAGGTGGACTGTGCCAACAAGGTCTGCCACCTATGCTACTGAGGTGAGGCTAGGGCCGGGCCCTTGATCCTAATGACCTGGTGCAGGTGCTAACAGGGACAGGCCTGAGAAGGCGCCTTGGCTCTGACTTCAGGGTAAGAGTCCACCTTTCCTGGTGAGATGCAGCCAGACCACCTGTGGACCCTGCCCCTCCCAAGGACTTTCAAAGAGAATGAGGAAGTCACTACGAATGCACTTTACGAAGTGCCAAATCCTTTTTTTTTAAATCTTTTTAAGGGGTTGGGAAGGAGGGAATTAGCCAAGTAAGTCGTCTGACCTTTGGCTGAAAGCTGACAAACTCTCCCCAAAAGTAAGTGAGGCTTCCTGCAGAAGGAGAGAAACCCAACCCCACTGTTCCTGGGATGCATGCCCCTGCTGTGGGCCACTGAAAGGACTGCCTCAAGGCAGGCTAACCTGGAGGGCAAGTGCAAAGGGGCCATTCTTGGGGCCCCCAGAGCCACTAGCTACCTATAAAGGCTTTGCTTGCCAAATACAGGCTACAGGCAGCCCAGCCAAAGCACCTTGATCTAACCCAGCAGGAAAGCACTACAGTCTAGGATGGAGGTCCCTCTCAGTACGAAGGTCCAGACAGCAAAATCCAATAAATCATCTCTGCACAAGCTCCCATGTGCAATATGGACATAGACACACATGCATGAACACAGGCACATATTCACATTCACACATGTATGCATGTATGTGCTCACGCGCACATATACACATGCACACACCCCCACAGCTGCATACACACACACATACAGACATGCAAGCACACACTCATATAAATATATACATGTGCTCATATTGACATAGTCCTGCAGAAACACACGTGCACATGCACATGCACAAATTTTACACTCATGCACATCCATACACAGAGGCATGCACACACATACATGCATGCATAAAAACTTATACTCAGAGGCAGCATGGCAGCCTCGGGCAGTGCCCGTGAAGCCTGGCCCACACTTGCCACCTGCCTGTGGCCTGGCGGGAGTTTCCAGAACCTCACAGCAGAAGGCTCATTGTGAGGTGATGAAATCAAGTTCTCCTCTATTGTTTCCCCAGAACTGTGGGGGAACAAACCCGTCACGTCGTTACAACAGCCGAAATACTCAGGCCAGAATGATGCATCGGCAATTAAGGGCTCCATCATTTCAAGCAATTAAAATAAATGCTTTATTTGAAAACTAATTAATTCTACCTACATATTTTTCCCATGACAATATCCTATGATTATTTGATTTATGACATCTAATTATTCTTTATTAATCTAATTGAGAATAATCGCGTTATCCTATCTCCCCTGGCACCAGCTGCCTGGGGTGGAGGCTGCAGCCCCTGTGCAGCACTAGCCGTATTACAGTGCAGCGCCCTGCTCTACTCCTGTTTTTTCCCCTCAGAGGGCAAAGGAACAGGAAACTTAATCTAGAGCACAACTTCAGTTTTGCTTGCTCTTTGAGATGTCAAAGCAAGACAGAGTCTTTCAAAAATTAAAAGAAAGGACTCTGACACAATTTGCATTAACTCGAGCAGCCTTTCCTATGAGGGTCTACAAATGCCCTAGAACTGGAGGCCCTTGGTCCCAGCAACACAAATGGACAGCTACAACAGAAGCAGCCTAGCAGGCCTCAGGCATGTGGACAATGCATAGCTGGGGCCAGTCTACATCCCACCTTTACACCTTGGCAGGTACAGCAGCCATGGCGATGAAACAATGTCCCTAGAAGGGAGGCAGAGCAGATATGCATATGCCCGGCATGCTGGCACAGATGATACCATAGCCCACAGAGGCTGTGTTAGCTCAGACAGAATCCACATGTAATTCAATTCAAGGTAGGTGAGATAGGGTCAAGGGAATGGCTAGTACCCAAAGACAACAAGTCCCTTCCCAAGGTAATTTCTGGGGTTTCCACCCATGTGCACCCCATAACCTGACCCATAGGCCACAGGTCAGCCCCAGGCACTTACCCTGCCCTCGGAACTCCATAGCCCTGTGCTCACCTCTGAGCCCTCTCATTTTGTCACAACAGGACAACTGCTTGCTGGGGGAAGTTTGGAAATCAGCAAAAAAGAACTGAGAAGCAGGACAACACAGGGAAGCCGTCACCCAGAGATACCCTGAGCACTGCCCCTGCCTGTCCTAGCCCACCAGCTTCCGCCTTCATGTATAATAGGAAAAGCCACATAGGCTAGTAGGAGCGCCGCCAATGGGACCCTCTAACCCCCACCACTATACAAGTGTGAGATGAGCCTTCAAGGTCCTGGCAACATATTCCACATGGGTGGTGCCACTTTCACAAAATGGATACCCTGATGCCTGCTCCCCACAGAAAACAGACAAAAATGTTCATAAGATAGAAAATAGGAGCTGGGGATTTAGCTCAGTGGCACAGCACCTGCCTGGCAAGCACGAGGTCATGAGCTCGATTCCCAGTACCAGTAAAAAAAAAGAAAATCCTCAGCGCATCATCAAATTGATTCCCTCAAAAAGTGAAACTTTCAGAGACTAAACATTATATCAAAAACTCAACCAAGCACTAGGCGTGATGGCGCACACTTGTAATCCCAGCGCTCGGGAGGCTGAAGCAGGATGATCACTG